AGATATGATCATTACTGTGGTCCTACGTATTTTCCTTGGTCCTCCTTTCTTAATAATCTAGCAAGTTGAAGCATTATAACATGATTAGGTGAGCATTCTTGGAATCCCAGTTACCACCTTTTATTATGTGTATAACGTTGGGCAAGATACATAATCTCTCAAAATTAATAATAGTGTTTGTCTTAGAGGATTGTGAGGGTTGCTACAACCTGGCACCTAGTAAGTCCCAAATAAATATTAGCTGTTACTATTTCTCAATATTTTTGGCAGCATGGTTGGTCAGAATGTGTAGGTGATCCCTGTCTGATAAAAGCATTCAGTTCTTTCCCATTTACTAATCGATTCAGGAACTAGACTCCCAACCTAAAAATTAAACTTGCTAATTTTATGTGCTTGGAGCAGAAACTTTTCAGGGATGTTTACTTAAAGAAACTGAGACAGTTTATTCCCTGATTCCTTTTCCTGTGAGTCCTGATGCTAATTTGGGCACAAGTAAATGCCTGTTGAGTCTTTCCTTGTCTCTGAGGGTGCACCTAGTCAAGTATTGATAAATTGCAGTGGATACTGACAGTGAGTTTTCTTGGTGCTTGCTCTGCTTAGTGAGATGACTAGCATGGGCAGGTAGCAGGGTTCAGCCACTGATACTTTTTGAAATGTGGGTTGGCAGGAAAATCAGTGAGTGCCTTTAACCATATGTATGTTCATGTCATATTCCAGTACCCCCAAATTATGCATCTTTACTATTTAGTTTGTTTCAAGCATTGCTTTCAGGTGCTACATTCTTCAGCCCCCATGATTTGACTTCATTTTAATGTGTAGAAATTTCTTTACGGTTTGATTTTAGCATATTCATGGCTTCAGATTCTTAATGCTATTAGTAATCACAGAGTCAGCTGACAACTTTTTTGTACCTTGTTTGGCAAAGATATATTGACTTGAATAATAGAAGGGAATCGAATTGCATTGCGGAAAAGGGAGGTGTGTATAGCAAACAAGTTCTTGTTTTATTGTCCTCTCTTTGCTCTATCCTTCCCTAATTGTGGGTGTACATACACCTTGAAATGATGTGTCAGAATTATTTGCATTATCATTGAATGCAGATTTTCCATAATCAGGTAAAAGAAAAGTCCTGTTGGAGTCATTTACCTTTGAGCATCTGGTAAGAATTAAGGATTTGCTGCAAAGAAAACAAAACCAAATTTAGCATACTATGTGTTTCAGAATGTTCATGGACTCCAAAAAGCCAAAACTTGGATACCAAGTTGAGATTCCTAACATAGGGCCTCTCAATATCAATTCCGTTCTGGTGACATTTGATGTCTATTTAGCTGATTTTTCTCAGACTGTTTCAGAGGGATCCCTATAAAGGCTAATTCTGATTTATAAGAACAAGAATATTATATATTAATATAGACAAAATGGAAATATTACTGATGAGCAGCTTCTGTTACCAAAAAAAAAAGGCTTAAATGAGTAGGTGTATTTTATTTGTAAAAAGGTGAAAGAGGACCTAGGGCCATTTTAGGGGAAATTTTTTTTATTATAGCTTTCACTTCTTAACACCGTTAGGAATCAGTATGATCATTTCAATAACAAAATAGTGCTGGGACATTGGCACAACCAAACTCTGTCAAGTAAATTATAACAGGTGAAAGGAGAAACGAAAAGCATTTGTGAGCAGTTGATCTGTTCAGTTTATAAAAGTGAGTGCATTTTGCTGTTTCATGTTTAGTATTGTGCACATCTCTGGTCAGTTTTCTATCATTAAGCCTAGCCTTTGTCAAAACACAGCCTTGTTGCTGTTGTATTGTCCTTAAGTCTGGTATAGAAAGCATTTTTTTAGACCTTGCTTCTTCGAATATCTTGAGCATCTTTTCCCACTGTTTTTCTGACTAGATTCAGTCTCTGAAGGCAAGGGACTATAGCTGTGTGTCTTATAATCTGAAATAGTCCTTTAGCAGTTGATCAATAAATTATGTTAATATAGAAATTAATCATTCAGTCTGGTTTAAACCAGGACTGTGCTTATTGATGAAATTAGCTTGTTGCTTTTCTGTCTCTTTTGGTTGGCCTTATAAAACAAATTGGAGAGTTCCGTTTTATTTGAAGAGTTTGTGTAGGATTGATAATACAATTCTAGAACTTTATAGTTCTTGGCTTTTGTGGGCTAATGTAGCTCTAGAATAATTTAGATTTTCTTCTGATTTTGTTTTTTTCTGTCAGTTTTAGTAAGTTGTATTTTGCTAGAAATTTGTCTGTTTCATCTAAAATTTCAAATAAATTGTCTTAAAGCTATTCCTGACAGCCTCTTAGGCTCTTTTTAACTACTATAGCTTCTTTTGTCTATTTTTAAAAAATTGTTGATATTGGTAATTTATACCTTATCTTTAAAAAATTAATTTTCTAGAGTCTTCTGGATTAATATTCACACATTTTCAAGTGACAATAATATCATGTCTTATTTCTGTGTATCTATATTATATGTACCAGAATATCGAGGAAAATGTTCAGTAGTAATGGTAAAAG